AAGTTATCTTATTTTCTTGGTATTGAAGTTATTCCTCATCCGAGTGGTATTCTTCTTTCTCAACAACGCTATATCATGGATTTACTGTCTCGGTCAAAGATGGCTACATGTAATGGTGTGACCACACCACTTGCTATCAACTCCAAACTCAGTCTCACCGACGGCCAACTACTCGAAGATCCAGAAGAATACTGATTCGTTGTCGATGGCCTTTAATACCTCGCTCTTACTTGGCTAGACCTCTCGTATATTGCGAATAAGTTGTCCCAGTTTCTTCACCGCCCTACTACTACACACTAGAAAGCTGCGAAACGTGTACTTTGCTACCTCCGTCACACGGTAACTCATGGTCTCCTACTGCACCGATCTTGACCTCTATCTTTGCATGCATATTCTGATGATTACACTTCCACGGGAGCTTTTGTCATATTTTTGGGTTCGAATGCTATCTCTTGGAGCTCCTGAAAGCAACACACTGTTGCTCGCTCCTCTACTGAGGCCGAGTATCGCTCCGTTGCTATTACCGCTGCTGAACTTCGATGGATACTCTCGCTTCTCACTGAATTGCATGTTTATATTCACACTCAGCCGTCTATCTATGGTGATAATGTTGGTGCCACTCATCTTTGCGCCAACCCTGTGCTTCCCTCTCATATGAAGCATCTTGTCCTAGACCATCACTTCATTCGTGAACATGTTCAACATGGTATTCTTCGTGTCTCTCATGTTCGATCCGAAGATCAGCTTTTTGACTTCTTCACAAAGCCTCTTCCCCGACGCCGTTTTAGTGACCTTCATCTCAAGTTTGGAGTTCTTCTTAGACCCTCCAACTTGCGGGGGCATATTGGAGAGAAATCATAAATAGTATATATCTTATGTAATTAGATAGTAGATTTAAATAAATGCAAGTATTATCCTATAGTTAGTTGCACTTGATCCCCTCATTGTACTCCTATATGTACCCATGTATATTTGAATTGCTAAGTGTGAATACAATTAATTCGTTCCTATAATTTATATATTGGATATCAAGTCTTGATTATTGATTCTTAATGACTAAGAGCATTTTATCACAACTTCTTAAATTATGGTGCAGTTATAAACTATAGCCCAACATAATTTGTTTTACATGTGCAAAGGGTTAAAAAAACAATTATAAATCATTGAGAGTTTATAAGTTCTTTGTTTAAGTGTTAAAATTATGACTTAATTCCAATTTTTGTCCTACGAATTTTATGTCAATTTCATATTTAGTCTTTGTCTTTCACGTTATCCACTTTTGATACTTGACTAATGTTTATTGATCATTTGTGGTCCATTTCCGGTGATTTTAACTACTGGAAACATTGACCATGTATGGGCGAAAACTCAATAGTCGTGTACCAAAATTGGTCAATTTCAAAGACATAGACCAATTGTGGAATTGGTGCGGTACTCGTAGTACAAAAGTGGAGTTTATTCTGGAAATTATAGTTGTTTGAAATTTCTTATTGCCAATTATAATGACGATGAATTCGAATGAACATATAATGTAGTGTACACGGACACACGGTTGTGTTTCAAATTTTAAAAGTTTTATACACTCTCTTTTTGGTAAATTTTTCCTTTAAAAATACCTAATTATCCTCACTTTTCCTACTTTTTATTTTCTTTTTCCTACTTTTTCACTTTCTCTCCTACTTTATCTACACAATTCATTACCTCTACTATTTCTTCCTTAAATATTATGCTAAAATCTAATGTAGTGATGTTTTAAATATGGAGGGAGTATAATTTAATACTTACTTACTTAGTAACTATTATACAATTACCCCACATTTCCAAATAAAAATTATTATAACCTAATTCTTGAACAATTTTAGACCAAAATGAACAATTAGTAGTTATCACACTAAGTAACATACAAAATTTTCAGAATTTTTAGAACACACCAGTCAAACATTTTCTATCAATTGTTCCTAAAGGTGGAATCTCCAACCCAGGAGCCCCTTACACCCCGACCCAACAGGATTTTTGGGAGGATGTAAGTCATGGCGACTCAGTCAGCCAAATAATGGTAGGATTTATATCCGTGTGCACCAGAGGTTTAGCCCAGCACGCAGGAGCTGTAACCTCCACATAGCCGCTGCGGGTTTCGAATCTCGGTCATTGTTCCAAATTTCCCAACACTGAACCAACTGAGCTACCCGTGCGGGTAACATTTTTTATCAATACAATGACTTAAACGCAATTACTCAAACAAGATGTGTCGAGATTTTATTTAAGGCTTAAATACTTTTATAGTTTTTGCAAATATGACACTTTGTTTTAGGTCCTTACAAATTATTTTTCTTATTTTTCATCCCGGAAATATGCACTATTTTGTTTTTAGTTTATATATAATTCCGAAACTAATGACTATGAGCATTTTATCACAACTTCTTAAATTATGGTGCAATTATAAAGTATAGCCCAACATAATTTGTTTTACATGTGCAAAGGGTTAAAACAAACAAGGGAAAAGTACACTTTACATACCTGTGGTTGTGGCCGTTTGCAATCAGGGGTCTGTGATGAACTTTGCAACAAACCCAAGCTTGTGCTTTCCTACCGTTACCACCCGCGGGGTCTAAGCGACTGGGCCATTAGTAATACGCTACGTGGCACTTTTTTTTTGCTTACGTGGCTTTTAATCCCAATCTATTAACACCATGTGTGATTACATGGCTTTTTATCCCTAGTCCATACCGTGTTAACCTATTTGGACCATATACGCATACGAAATCCATTCCCCTCTTCCACAAACACAAATACAAATTTGAAGAGATGAGTTCTTCTAATTCGAGCTCCTGTGCGATGGATGGAAGACAACAAATCAAGAAGTGCGGCTGTGGAGTCCAAGCTCCTATTTGGACGGCGACAACAGAGAAGAACCGGGGGAAAAAGTTTCATGCTTGCGGCCGTTATTCTCGAGGGGGCGAACAACAATGCAATTTTTTGAGTGGGTTGAAGAAGATACGTGTTGTACTTGTCTGCATAACTTAGATGCTGTTATTGAGAAGGTCAGAAGACTTGAAGAATATGTCCAGATGAAAGAGTTGGAGATGGAGGGTCAAATAAAGAACTGTGTGCGTGAAATTGGTGTGTCGAAGGTTCAGAACATGGAACTGCAACTGCGGATGTCTAAGAATCATAATGTCACTTTTAAGTGGAAGCTGCTCTGTCTGGCCATGTTAATTTTCATGTTCTTTGCAAGTAGAAGATTTTAGATCTAAGTTCTTTGCTAAGTTTTCGATGAAATGACCAAACCACGTGTAATTGTGTTTGGAGATTCCTTTAGTTTAATTTCATGTGAGACGTTTTGTTGTGAGTGATGTCCAATGTAATGCACCAATGTAAGAACCTTGTAAGGGTTGATGTCAGATTGTATGAAGATTTTGGCTGTAACAATTTGTGTGAACTTGTTTAATGTTATAGCAGTTTATTTCTCCACATCTTCTTTTGGTTAATGTTATAGTAGATATACTGGGAGTGCTGTGAACTTCTTTAGATTAACAACATGGCTAGTATCATAAAAATCTACCTCAAACAATTTGTCCCCAGCAGGAGTGGAAAAACAATTCCTACTTTCAAATTTAAACTTTTCAAGTAGATCCTGCTTATTAGGACATATTTCACCCTTATATTTCATCATGGCAGTGTACTTAACATTAAACCTAGCCATTAATCTTCTTCTAATCCACTCAAACATGCTCAAAATATGCATATCTCTTGCTCTGAGTATGTAGGCATTGAATGACTCACAAATGTTGTTTCTAAGAGCATCAGAATGTGCTAAGGTTGAGAAATGGGATCTGCTCCAAGTACTTGGGTCATACTGCATAATCCAGTTGTAAGCAGCCTCATCAAAGCTCTTGATGCCTTCCATTTGCCTCTGCCATGACCTCAGACTTCAAGTGCTAGCTGCAAACCATAGTTTTTTTTGTATTCAGGCCCTCTAAATATCTTCTTGTAATTCTCATACATGTGCTTCACACAATATCTGTGCTCATTTGCAAGTGAGACAACTTTAAATGCTTCAACTAGTCCCTGAAACAAGGTAACAATTAAAAACAGTATATGGAAACAACAAATTTTTAAGCATGATATAGGTACACATTTTTAACACACCTTCTGCTTGTCTGACATGAATACCCAATTAGTTTCTTCTGGTCTTCCAAAATCTTCAAACAACACTTGCAAGAACCAAGTCCATGAAGCTTTGTCTTCACTATCCACATAAGCTATAGCAAGAGGAAACATGTTTTCATTTCCATCCCTTGCTACAGCACAAAGCAGTTGGCCTCCCATTGGTGTTTTCAAGTGGCGCCCATCTAACCCAATTAAGGGTCTAAAACCTGCAAAGTAACCCTGCTTCTGAGCACTAAACCTCATGTACATGTATTGAAGCATTAGAATTTCCTTGGGTATTCTTGGTACATCCTCTGCAGCACCACCTTCTTCATTGACATCCCTAGCTTCAGTTTTGATTATTACAAGACTCCCAGGGTTGTATTTAACAACAGTTTCTGCATAATCCCTCAACCTCCTATATTGTTCTTTGATATCTCCTTGGATCTTTGCCTTTGCTTTTCTTCTAGCTCTGTAACACTTTGCAAGACTCACCTCTGCCCTTAACTGTCTTTGAACTGACTTTTGCATAGCAGTGACATCCCACTCAGGATTTCCCCTCAACTCATCCATGTACTTTTTTGCCAAATAGCTACTAGTCACCAAGCTGTTTCTGTTACTAAAAGGGCATTCATGTTTGGGCCTGAATGTTTTTATTTGGAAGGACCCACATTCTGGAACTTTTGATGCATGAACCCTGAATGAACAAATGTCCTTGTTTTTGCAAACCACAGTGATTTTAGATCTATTGTTCTTCACAAATTTGAATTCAAATCCACCCTTGACTGCCCATTCCTTAAGAGCATTTCTAAAAGAGGTATGTGAGGTAAATTTCAAACCTTTGGATAATTCTGGATTTGTAGCTCCTGTTTCTTCATTGAACTCTTCATACTTTTCATCACCATCTTCAGATTCTACAATGCTATGCAAGTCATCACTATAGCATGGACTTTCATTAAACTCCTTAAGCTGGTCTTCATTCAGATCTTCTGGAAAAAAGGGGTTTGGTTCTGAAGGTTGGTCTGGACCTGGGGGTGGTTTTTGGCTTAAACTTGCAGCTCCATGATTAAATACATCATCTTCACTCCCTTCTAGGTCATCATATAGCCAGGAAGCTTCACTCCCTTGTAGGTCATCATATAGCCAGGAAGCTTCACTGATATTGGAATTGGAATGGTCATGTGAAGCACTTTCAGATCCACTTTGATTCACATAGTCTTCATCATCCTCATCACTCTGTAATTCAGTTTCAACAAATGTAGTGGATTCACCCACAGATTGGTCTGCTTGTCGAGCTTGATCTTTATTTTGTAATTGAGTTGGGACTGAAGTGTGGGCTTCCTGTGAAGATTGGGTTGTTTCTTTTGCTAAAGTACCAACCACCCGTTTTTTACTTGTGTTTGCAACAAAGTACAAGTCAATGTGTGGGTCCATTATGTTACACACCAACATGTCTTGAACATCTTTATCACACATTATCTCTTGCAAGGTGACTGGTCCACACAACTCCCTAATTGAGAATCTTCTAAACCACATTTTTACCCCATTTGTATAATCCAAATCTGCTGCATATCCCTCCAATTCGAACTTGCTCACATAGTCAATGTCAACTTTATCTTTTTTCAAAACATGGCCTCCCACATACTTTTTCTTTTCTTTTGGACAGTCCCACTTTCCACCATGGTGAATTAACAAATTCACGTACTCACTCATACCAAACCTGCACATACATTCAATGCGGACAAACTACACTTCAATACCAAAAAAGAATGAAAATTTAAACTGCAACACAAACTTCAATACCCATTAACACTTCCAACGAACCCATTCGCACATTAATTTACCTACCAACCAGGTTTTCCAATAAGCGTCACACCCTAACCAAAATATGTAAACCAAAGAAACAATTATTGGAGTACTTACTTTCACGTGAAAACTCTAAGGACAAAAAACTACAATTCCATCTGCCAGTGCTTGCGTTATTGTCCTTTGTCTGCTTCGACCAACAATCTTTGTTCTTTCCCAACAGGAGGTGTAGAATCGAATGGGAGGAAGAATTGGGTTTTCTTCAGCCCTAATTTCACCTAATTGTAATTGGGTTTTCTTCAGCCCTAATTTCACTTAACTTTTGCATTTTTAAGTAATTAAAATAATACATCTTAATTGGAGCTTAGTTGGAAAAAAAATGCCACGTAGTGTATTACTAACGGCCCAGTCGCTTAGACCCCGCGGGTGGTAACGGTGGGAAAGCACAAGCTTGGGTTTGTTGCAAAGTTCATCACAGACCCCTGATTGCAAACGGCCACAACCACAGGTATGCAAAGTGTACTTTTCCCAACAAACAATTATAAATCACCGAGAGTTTATAAGTTCTTAGTTTAAGTGTTAGAAATTATGACTTGATTCCATATTTTCTTAATGACTATGAGCATTTTATCACAACTTCTTAAATTATGGTGCGATTATAAACTATAGCCCAACATAATTTGTTTTACATGTGCAAAGGGTTAAAACAAACAATTATAAATCATTGAGAGTTTATAAGTTCTTAGTCTAAGTGTTAGAAATTAGGACTTAATTCCAATTTTGTTCCTATGAATTTTATGTCAATTTCATATTTAGTTACATAAATCTACTAATACTATATAAATTTGTCCTTTTATAATTTTTTTGAGGCTAATATGAAAGTTAGAACAATTTAAAACTAAGTATTCACATTTTAATATATATATATATATATATATATATATATATATATATATATATATATATATATATATATAGGGAAGAGTTCAAATGAAAAGTGGTCTTCCCGTGCAAAGTGCAAAGTTTTTACTTTTTCATGTTTCGCTTGCACTTTTTCTTGTTTGCGTTGCACTTTTTGACCATTTTGATTTTGGTCAAATTCGGCCAAAATGACGGTGGCAGTTTTGTAAATAAACCAATTTTTGAACTCCTGCGAAAAAGTGCAACGAAAGCAAGAAAAAATGCAAGCGAAAAATGAAAAAGTGCAAACTTTACACTTTGCACGTTAAGACCACTTTTTATTTGAACCATCCCCTATATATATATATTATATTGATATAGTATATGGCCTCGGGACCCCCAGCCCACTGATAAGTCCGTATTACAACACGCATTTGATGCATGTTGGGATCAGTTTTTGATGATTTACCTAGCTTTAAGGTGTCACAAATCTCAATTTTAGCTCAAATTATGTGTACCAGACGTTGGTTCGAGTTTTTGTTGTTTGGAGTCAAAAATCAGGTAATTAGATCCGGCACCGGCGCTTGAGAAGAAATCAAGAAGAATTGATGAGCATTCAAGAGAGTTTCGAGAGTTTTGGAGGTCACCGGGAGATTCACGATGAAGATTTGATGACCAAAGAGCTCTAGGTTGGCTACGGGATCAAAAGAAGACAAATAGAGCTGGAAAACGACGTTCAGAATGACCTTATGTCAATCTTTCAAGCATATCTCTTCATAGAAGCATCCAAAGAACATGATTCAAGTTGAATATGAAAGCCAACTTCAAGGGATACAAATCATATGAAGACATCATTGCGAGAATAGGAGAGGAAGAAGGTGAAAACAGACAATGAAGTCAGATGATTCCTGTTGCAATTTGAGAATGAGACCTTCCACCATTTTATTCATATCTCTTGATTGGATGATTCAAATCCAATTCGGAAAGTTGTGGTGGATAGAGGACTTCATTATCTACAACTTTCATGAAGGAAGTTTTGTCAAATTCGGACCACAGATGCCGGAAAACTCACTGGCAGCCACGCATGCGTGCGTGGGGAGGGACGCACGCGTGCGTCCAACGTTTTTACGCGCAAGTCTGTCGGACGCACGGACGCCACGCACGCGTGCATGGGTGCCGTGCGTGCCTCCTGGAGTCATAATTTTGCCCGAATTGCTCTGTATTTCCTATTTAAACAGCCTGTAAACCCCTGTTTTGAAGGGGGGAGCTTTAAGAGAGTGCCTAGCACGAAATTTAGAGAGGTTTAAAGCCTTGTTCATCAATCTTTTGGGATTCTTTGTAAGTTCCTACTTTTTAATTAATAACAATTATTTCTATTCTTCCCAATTCTATTGATTCTTCAATTATGAGTCGGGAGTAGTTTTAATTAGGGATTTGGGATTGATGAAGGGGTTAATCATGATGTATGGCTAGTTTTTGATGGTTTAATTGCGTGAATGTCGTTTAATTTGTGTTTGAATAATTTAACTGATATCTTTTGTAACCTAGAACGACCGCTAGAATTACAATTGCTTGTAGAATAAATTAAGAGAGATCCAGTTTATTCTGAGACACATTCACACACACTTAATCGTTCGCTAAGAGATTAGTAACGATTAAGGGGCCGTAAGCTCGCTCGTTTTGGCAATAATTTAGGATCCTGTCGCATGAGAGATCAGTCTGGTCCCCTAAATTATTGTACTCTACGCCGCGAGAGCGGTAAGAACTTAATATTGATTAGCTAGGCTCAATTAAATTAATTTCATGCGATTAAGCCCGATCTTCCAGAAATCTGATTACCCCAGAATCAATCCTTGTTCCCTTCGTCATTAATTAAAAAGAACCCATTAGTTTAATTTCTTTATTCGCAATTTATTTTTCCCAATCAATCAATCTCGCACGACGTATTTATTTTATTTATTTTTAATCATTGAATTTGATTAATTCTTAATTCTCTTTTGTCCGTCCCTGTGGAGACGATACTCGTACTTTACCACTAATTTACATTCTATTTTAAGTGCGATAAAACTCACATCAGTTTTTGGCGCCGTTGCCGGGGACGGTGTCGGTTTTAAGGGTTAATTAATTTCAGCGATATTTTTTTAGTTAGTTTTTCTTTTTGTTTTCCGTAGGATTTTTTTCCTGTACTAACCTTTCAGGTAAATTAAAGAGGCATGAGATGAACTCATTCGGCCAAATTCCAGGAGGAATTCCTTACCCTCAAACCTCCATGGAATATTCATCATATACGCCAGACCCTCCTTACACTCCTCCTCAATATTACACTCCTCACAATTATTACTCTCCTCCACCACAAAATATTTCATCTTCCTATTCTTACCCTCCTCCAAATACGCAACATTCGAATGTCATTCCCCTCATTATCCTTATCCACAATATCTTAGCGCAAGACCAGACACCATGCTTTATTATCTTGTTAAAAATAAAAGTCCTGAGGAATTGGTTGATTGCTTTCCTAAAAGTAGCATTTGTTCCTTCTGTGGAGGAGGTCACCATTTATGTCTTTGCCCCATTCCTCCATACGACCATCCTTATTGGGCAACGACATACCCCACTTATTCATCCCCGCAATTTGCAAAAATAAATGTTTCAGTCATTCCTATGTCTCCACCAAGTACTGAGCCACAGATGCAGTGTAAGAAGAAACTTTCAGAGACTCTGTCTGAGTACCTAGAGATTACGAGGGAGAGCACTTTAGCCATGACGCATAGCACTTCAAACATAATGCGGGATATAAATATCATAAGGAGCCATCTGGCAGAAGCCCAACTTGAGGAGACCAATAGGGATGACCATGGGATTGAGTCGGACTGCGATGATGGAAGTATGATGGATGATACACATCCAGACGCTTTTGATGATCCACCTATGGTTGAACTTGATCAAAATTATAGTAGTCTTGAGTTGTTTTTCCAAGAATACAGGCAAAAGTTTCGAACGGTACAAGCTGTAACTGACAAAGTCACAGATCACAGTGATTTCCATATAGAAACTCCTCATCCGTTTGATTTACCGTTAGTCTCAACCCCTGACGAGGAGGGAATGGAGCAGATGAGTCATGACATTGAAGAAGAGTTGGGAAAAGATAATCACGACCTCCAAGAGAATGGTAGCAAGGTAGACGATCCTCATGACGAAGAATTCCCGCTCCACATGCAAGATTACTCCTCGTACGTTAGTCCAGGTTTGGATTTCTTTGATCCATTCCTTGGTGATGATATTTCTTTTAGTGTGGAGAATGATCACAACTTCTTGGAGGATATTAATAAGAAGAGTGACGAAACGAATTGGGATGCATTCATGGAGAGTGATAGCGAGTCAAGAGGAGGTGCTCAGAATTTTCACAGTACATTCGAACGAAGAAAGGAGGTGTTTGTGATACATTTTGAACAAGAGGATGAAAATTTCATCCTTCACTTATGTGCTGACGAGGGTTATGAAGACCATGCGCTTCCTAAGTGTTTTCAAGAATTTAAGAATTTGTGCCACTTAATGGCATTTGTTGAGAGGAAGTTGGAAACGTTGATTACTAATGCACCACTACAGTCTTTGCTATTTGAGAGCCTATGAGGTATCGTCGGGCACACGACGTTAAAAATAGCGCTTCTCGGGAGGCAACCCGGGCTTATTTCTGCATTGTTTTTATTTTTGTTTTTCGTTTGTTGTTTTGGTATTTTGCTTTGTGTTTTTATTGCAGCTCAGGGTTTTTTCGTTGAGATGATTTGCCGAGAATTACTTGACTCAGTTTAGTTCTGCACCGATCAACGCCCTTAGGGAAGTTTTCATGATCATTCTCTTTGCATGTGTTAATTGTTGACTTGAGTTAATGTGAGCACGCGTGACTTTTTCCTCTTTACCCCTTGTGCATAGTGCATTTTTGGTCATCGAGGATGATGCCAAAGTTTAAGTGTGGGGGAGTAAATTGGGCATTCGGGCAGTAGTTATTACATGAGA